ATATAAATTATTATGACAAATTCTAGTAAACTAGACTATTTTAGAAGACTCTTTTTAAAAAAATGAGAAAACTCTTAAAAACTCTAGAAATTTTTAGAAAACTCAAAATTTCTTTTTTTTAACTTGAGAAAACTAAAAAAAAAAACATTATATAAAACTCTATAACACTTTAGAACATTCTAGAAAACTGTAGAAAACTTAAAGAAACTCAATAAACAATTTCTAGAATACTTGAGAAAACTTCAGAAAACTAGAACATTTTAATAAAAGCTTAGAAAATTAGAAAACTCGAGAAAACTTTAAAAAACTAGAAAATCTTAGAAAAGTTGAGAAAACTGGATCTGGAACATTTTGAGAAAAGTTTTTAAAATTGTGGAAGACTGTTGCCCTGTTCTGTCCTCAGATGATCGAGCTGGCTGAGAGAGCACGTCAGATGAACAAAGGAAAAGGCAAACGTGGAGTGTCGACCGTACAGGTGGATGAATCGTAAGTCTGGTCGCTAGATGGTGGTGGTGGTGTTGGTGGTGTTGTTGTTGTTGGGGGGTGGTGGTGGTGGTGGTAGGAGTGTCGACCGTACAGGTGGATGAATCGTAAGTCTGGTCGCTAGATGGTGGTGGTAGGAGTGTCTATTGTGCAGGTGGATAAATCATAAATGTGGTCGTCAGAAGGTGGTGGGGGTGGTTGTGATGGTAACGATGATGATGATGATGATGATGTTAGACCCATTTCCCTGCTGGTATAAAGTGCACATTTAGTTTTTCTCTCAGTTGCTCCTAAGGAAGCCCAAGAGGCGAAACGTAGAGCTGCGTCCATTAAACAAATTTAAACTATTTTGTCTGAAAACCAAACAAGACTCTCCCTCCAACTCAGCTTTCCAAACAATGATGATGATGATGATGATGATGATGATGATGATGATGATGATGATGATGCTTCAAGGTAGGAGAGTAATTGTGGTAATCTTGATGGTAGCTACGGTGTGGTGGAGGTGTTTTTGGTAGGAGGGATGGTGATGAGTCTGCTGGTGTTGCTGATGATGCTGGTGATAGGAGTGGAGGTGATCATATTGTTCTTGGTGATGGTCATTTTGTTGTTGTTGCTGTTGTTTGTTTTTATTGGTCTATCTGTCCTGGAGGGGTAAGGGGGGGGCAAAAGGTCACCCAAGTGTGTGATGTCGCAGCTGGTGATGAATAGTAGAATTCTTTTCATTCTATTTTCTTCTTTTTGTGGGGTGTTTAAAAAAATAAAGGAAAAAAGGGAATGGAAGTTTTCCTTCAACTATGAGGGTGATGTCAGCTGTTTGTTTCCATTCTTCTAAACCTGAGATATTTGTTGTTGTTTTTTTTTAAGTCATCATAATTTATAATTATTTATTTCTAACTAACTATTGTTGTTTTTTCCCCCCACAGCTTCGACCGCCTGGCTGATAAATTCACTAGCGCCCCGGTGAGTTGACCTCCTCTGACGGGAATATCTCTCGCACACTGACAGTTTTATTTCATTTATTTGATTCCGTTGGGACCAGCCACATTTTCCTTTTTTTTGAGGGACAAAGACTACGTTTTCGGTACCATACTACATTCAACTAGATTCTATTGTTGCTTTCAAAGCCAAATATTATGTTTGTTATTGAAAGTCTTACTAAACAAAGGTAAAGTGTGTTTGATCTATCTTTATTAACTCTCACTCAACATTGATATATTTGGTACTAGGTGGTGGAATCAGGCGCTCGTCAGTTTTTGGGCATACACAGTTATTGGTATCATCTTAAATCTTGTTTGTTTGTCCTACTTTTGATGAAAAGATTATCCGTCTATTTTCAATAGAAGTCGAGATATTTGTAATTGAAGCACTTGGTTTCAGAAGTAAAATTAGAGAGAAAATGGCTGCCAAAGTTTAACTTACAAAGCTTAAGAGTCAATGGAAACTACATTTATGTTTTTAGTGCCTTTATTCAATGTTTTTGAGTTAAAGCCACACAGCAATGTGTTTTACAATAGACATAAAGTGTTGAGCCAAAAAATAGAAGTTCCATAAATATTGGCCAATGGGAAGAAAATGCCTTATTTCATCAAGATAACTCAAATTTGAAAAAATAAATATTACGTCATTCAGTTTACTCTTTTTTTACCTTACGTTAGGCTACCATAATGTTTCAAATAACAAATACGTTCATGGTTTGTGTCTATCTCCTCTCGTCATGTCGATGAATTGTGTTCTCCTTCCTCGCCCCCTCAGCCCAAGATTCAGTTGTGCAGTAAATACGAGAGACACACCGACCACAGGACCTACAGACAGAGAATGGACCTTTTCGAAGACTTGGGCAAGGAGCCCCCACCCATCGAGATCAACAGAATCAACGCCGGAGGAGCCGAGGGCGATGAGGAGGCCGAGGAAGAGGCCGCCGACGAGTAGATGGAAAGAAAGGACGAAGGTATACAACTTATAATTGATGGTAGAGAGAAAGGAGGAAAGTATACAGCTTATAAATAATGATAGAGAGAAAGGACGAATGATGATAGAAATAAGGACGAAGGCAAATTGTTTAGAGGGTCTAGCTACCAAGAAAAGCTATCTTTGTTATTTCTGCATCTTTTGAAACCAAACTTTCCCCAAATATGTGGTACCTCCCAGAAATATGTCAAAAGGTTTCAAAACAATTCAACCCAAAGTGTTATGGAACACCGGCTGCCATATTGAAATTATACAATACTTGGGAAAATCTTAAAATTTTGAAAACCAAAAGATAAAATGTTAATTTTTTATATCAAGTTAATAATAATAGTTATAGGTACCTGGCTGGGTTTTTTGGGGTTTTTTTTGGGGTATATTTCCAGTGTTCTGGAATTTCTGGGGGTTTCAAAGTAATTTTTTTGTACCAATTTTAAACGCAAAATCAATTTCCAATGCAGATTTCTGGAATATTGAGTACATTTTCTTCAATATAACTAGTAAGGTACCCTTAACTACCCATTCTGAACATACTGGGAAAGTTTCAGTTCATTATCTTGATAAGTAGCTCAGATTTTCAGATTTTAGAGATGAAGGGTCTTTCTAAAATAAAGTTTTGAGAGAAACGCTTTTCAAAATGTCACGGCGTGTAATTTGAGGGTTTGTTCCTTCCAGAGGTTCCAGCACTTTTATTTCCAATCACATATAAAGTCTCATTTCTGTACAGTTGCAAATAACCTCATTTATAAAAGTTTGGTGAACCAAGTAGACACAAAATGTAACCCCCCCCCAAAAAACGTGACCAAACAGTCATTTTTGCAAGACAGGGGGCGAGATCGCTCAAGACACATTTTCACCTATTTTATCAATTTTTTTTTTTACAAATATACCAGTAAATCTGATTCAGCAATGATCAAATTAAGGTGTTAAAAAGCTGATTTCCCGAAAACCAATAAATTTATCGAAAATTTACCAAAAACGTTACCCACTAGATCTAGATCTCTTAATAGAAAGAAAACTTGATGAAAAAACAAAGAATAAATTTAAAATGTTAAATGTAATATTAAATTAT